TCTAGAGCTCTCTGGTTTCCCCCCTGAAGACTGCCGATTTGTTCCCCAAACCCACTCACCCCGTTCTCCCGCTGCGACAGAACTGGGCTGGGCGTAGAGCTGCTCAGCCGAACTGTCTTCCTCCTTTGCATCCAGACGTAGACGTGGGGCCGTTTTAGCCAAGGGGATGCGAGTGGATGTGCCACGCACGAACTAAGACTTCCCCTTTAGGTAGCTGGGCTTGTACGTCCCCATCCCACGTACTGGGACTGGTGGGGTCTGAAGCGGTCACCTGGGACCAGGACTGGAATCCATGTGTTGTATGGCTGGTGGGACCCAATAACAGACGGGCCACATGTGGCTTTATGTGGCCAAAAGGACTCTGCAGATGTGGTTAGGTTAAGGCTCTCCAGAGGAGATCATCCCGGATGATCAGGATGAACCCAGTGACACCACCAGGGTCCTTACAAGGGGAGGCGCAGGAGTGTGGAGCCAGGAAGGCAAGAATCGAACCAAAACGGCAGGGAGATAGGCGCGCTCCGAAGCTGCGGGAAGGGGCTGTGAGCCGGGGACGGGAGCGGCCCCCAGAAGCGGGAGAGATGAGGGGCTTCTCTCCTCAACTGCAGATGCAAGACGGTTGCAGACGCCCGGATTTTAGTCTAACGACGCCCGTTGTGGACTTCAGACTTCTGGGTTTGTGTTGTTTTGATTTGCTAAGTGTACAGCGACTTGGTGTAACGGCCAAGAGAAGCTGATACCCGGGGCGGGGGGGGGGGGGGGGGCACCAAACAGGCGCACGACCCCCTGGGAACCCAGAAGTAAGTAACAGCGACAGAGACGCGGAAGGTGAGGAAGGGCCGGTGCAAGCCTCAGGGCTTGTGAGATGACCGACTGGACGACGGATCTTATGCAGGCGGCACTCGAAGGGGACATGGCCCCGAGACAGGGATTCGGAGGAATTCTCAGCATTCTGTGACTGAGCGAAGGGACGGGGTGAGCAGGCACAGAACGAGTTAGAAGAGAGAAGGGCCTAGAACAAGAGCTAAGTGGAGCACAGAAATGCGCAGAGGAGGACGGGAGCATCAGCCCAGCAGCCCTCACCCACGGGGGAGACACTCGAGCCCCGAGTGCGCGCCTGAAACGTCGGACAGCACCAAACCCTACAACCCGACAACACACATTTAGGATGAAGTTTAATTCATGAACTAGGCCGGGCTGAGAGATCTCCAACACTGACCAGCACTAACATAGAATGATCGCGACGATAATACCGTATGAAGGCTACGTGAGCGCGGTGTCTCCTCCAAAATATCCCATTGCGTGGTACTCGCCCTTCTTCTTGTGATGATGGGAGACGAGGAAACGTCTCAGGGACGAGATGCGGCGAAGGGAACAGTCCGGCGCGGGGCGTAGCACAGGCTCCCAGGAAGGAGAAGCCTCGGCTTCCAGACCTCGGTTGGCCTCCGCAGTGGACACTCAGGAGAGCAACACTGCCGCCGCTAAGGGGGGGGACTCTCGTGCGCAATGTTGCTAACGGGTGGACAGAGAAAAGCACATGACACCGTTTGCTTAAAAGTAAAATCCTCAGCCCTCCGCATGGGAACATAGATGTTTCCCAGTGTTTCTCCGGTCCAGGAAGAAGGACCGGTTCCGAGCCAGAGCCCTGACGCTAGACGACGCTGGCTTGAACGCGGACGCTTCCACTGAGCAGTGCGACCTCCGCCAGGTCACTTAACCTTGCTGCGCACCAGGTTTCTCGCCCGTGACACGGGAGAGGATCCGCAGCTCCTCGCGGCAGTGCCCGCAAGGACCCGGCCCGGGAAGTCCTACGAAGCGGTAGCCGCTCCTGCTGTTACCATTCCTACACACCGTGCTGGTCTGTCTTGTTATTTTAGAACAATGAAGTCTGCCAAAGGCCATAGGGCAACAAGCACTGTATGAAGGAAATACAAACTCGAGGCGGGAGCGGGCAGTGGGAGACAGGGCGGTGCGCGCGCCCGCAGAGCGCGGAGGAGGGGCCGGAGGTCCGAGTGTGCCCCGGCTGCGCTCGGAGCGTCCGCACTCAGGAAGCGCGTGAGGCACTCCGTGTTAGGATCATAAAACGGCTAAAAGGTTAACCAGACTACTCGCCGGTGACCCCTACGCAGCCCCCATTTGTTCTTCGCCTGAGAAACGCGAAGGAAATGCGCAGCTGCCGCTCGGCCTAACCAGTGAGCGGGAAGAAGAGCCGGGGGTCCTCGTGCCCGCGTCTCGGCAGACGGTGCCTGCCTGGGCTCTGGTACCGACAGTGCCTGCCGGCCAAGCCCCCTGGTTCCGCCTCGGTTCTGGCCCTTGTCCCCACACCAACACCACGAGGAAGGCGGAATCACGGAGAGGGGCAGAGGGAGAGGCCCAGGTTCGACTCGTGTTTCATCAGCGACGCCCCCGCGTGCACCCGGCCCCACGTGCTTCCGTCTACGCGCTCTTCCTCGCCCGCCTGCCTGCTCCGTATTGCGCGTTGATTCGAACCGCACGTGATCTCAACCTCTGTGTCCCTGCTTCTCGGTGCGGCGACCTCTGGGACAGCCTGCCCGGCAGGGTGTTGGGAAGCTCACACCACACCCACCTCAAGGGGGCAGGGACTGGCGGACCATCAGTTCTCTTTGGTGCACGTGCATATCTTCTCCCTCGTAAAAGGCGAGGCGCGTCGAGGAAAAAGTTCCCGCCTAACGAGGCCAATGAAAACAACATTTTCTGCTGTGCTGACCCCTGAGGCCACCCCGCCCTTTCCGCGCAAATCTCTGGGTGAGTCGGCTTCGCTAGTCCCCACGCGGCCACCCCCGAGCCCCTGCGGTTTAAGAGCTGCCCTTTCTTCCTCCAGTTTCTCGCTGGTCTCCCTGCCCTTCTACTACATGCAGGAGAGAATCGGAGACATGTCAGACCATGTTTTTTTTTTTTTAAAGGTTCCTTCTTTAAGAGCCGGGCAGAAAAGAATGACAATTCTATTATCATAGCTACCAGCTGGGTACCTTGTGAGCCGTCCGTTCCAATGAGGCAGTAGGAAGCCACACTAGGCCAAAATGTCTCGTTCTCCAACAACCCACCTTCATCTCTTTCATTTGAAATTGCAGCATTTACTGCTTTCAATCGTTTCTGCTTTTCCGCATAAGTATTGCAACTGGATTTGGCCTGAAGCTAATGTAGTTCAAGCTTCTGGGACCCTTCCTGGCCTCCAGGACTTCCCATTTGTAATTTTGTTTAATTTTTCCTCAAGAGGGACCTCAAATTCTAAGGCTTCGGGGCCTGTGGAATTCTCATCAATATGATTTCATGGCTAAGAGCCTTAAATCCCGGAGATAAGGGGCGCCTGGGTGGCTCAGTGGGTTAAAGCCTCTGCCTTCAACTCAGGTCATGATCCCAGGATCCTGGGATCGAGCCCCACATTGGGCTCTCTGGGCAGCGGAGAGCCTGCTTCCCCTTCTCTCTCTCTCTGCCTACTTGTGATCTCTGTCAAATAAATAAATAAAATCTTAAAAAAAAAATCCTGGAGATAAGACTTCCCTTCCTTTTAGTATTCAGTAATTTGGGGTTGGTCACTTTAAGCTTCAGCCTCGGTTTTATCGTTGTGGAATGGGAATATTATCTGTATCTTTAGGATTACGGTAACGTTAGATGCCCGGAAGCAGTTTTTCATACACAAGAAACGTTCCTAAATGTTGGCTGTCATCATTGTTGCTGTTGTTGTCGCCTGAACAGGAAGGACCGTAAGCTCCCTGAGAGCAGGGTGCGGCACCCTAGAGCCCATCACAGGCCGGTGGCCGAGGGATGCGGCCTTCCAGCGCCGGCGCCCGCGTCCCCACCTTCTCACCGCGTCTAACCAGAAATGCAACTTTGGTTACGTTCTCGGTGCGACACACACGGTTACCTCCTCGGCGACGCGCCGGACACTCAGTGGCCCCTTCCCACCTGGAGAGGCTGATGTAGCTCCGCTGCGTCCCTGCCCGGTGAGTCCCGGAACCCGCTGTGCGCCCCGGCCTCCGGCCCCCTCCCTCTCCGGGGTTGGCCGGGGCTAAGGTCGGGCGCGCGGCGCCGAGAGCTCGGGCGTGCGTCAGCGCGTGTTTGCGCCTCACGAGCGCCCGGCGAGCGGCGGCGATGCTGCTTCCCGGTGGGCGACCATCTCCGTCCGCGCGGGAGCCGGGTGCGCGGGAGCCGGGTGCGGGGACCGAGCCGCCCGCGCACCTCCCCTCCGCCGCGCGCTGCGCCCGCAGGACCGGGCCGGGGGTCCCCCGGGGCGCAGGGCGGGCGGGAGGCCGGGAGGAGCAGCCCCGACGCATCCGCCGGCGCCGCAGGAGGCGGAGCGCTGCACCTGGCGGCGGGTCCTCGGGCCTGACGCGGGTCCGGCCGGCCGCGAGCTGCGCGCCCGGGGCCGCGGGGAGGGAGGCCGGAGTCCGCGCCGGCGCTGCGCCCGGCTGGCCGCTGCGGGTCGCCCCTCCGCACGCGCCTCTCGACCGCGCCCCGCCCGCCGCAGCCTCCGAGCAGCCCCCGCCCGCCAGCGATGGCGCGCGCCGCCCCGACAGCCGCCGCCCCGGCGCCCCGAGCCGCCGCCCCGCGCCGTGGGGAGAAGGCCCCCCGCGTCCCGCGCCTCTGAGCGCCGGCGCCGCCCGCAGCAGGTGAGTCCGGGCCCCGCGCGGGGAGGGGGCGCTCGGCCGGGGAGGGGGCGCGGCAGCCCCGCCCGAGCTTTCCCCTCGGGGGCGTCCGGCTCGGAGGGCGGGGGCTCCCCTGCCTCGCGCGCACCTGCTGGGGGGGGTCTCGGAGCCGCGGCTCGGGGCGGGCGGGCGTGGGCGGCTCTGCTCCCGGCTTGCCCGCCCTCCCCCTTCCCTCCCCCCCGGCTTCTGGGTCGCTTGTCATCCTCATGGGGCGCTGGGGGGGCTGCAGCAGGCCCCCGGGCCCGGGCGCGGGCGGCGCTTCCGCAAACGTAACTGCAGCAGGAAAACAAAGGCGCTACCGGAGGGGCCCCGCCCGGCGCCGGCAGCTGCGGGGGTGCGGGTGCGGGGACAGGGCCGGGCCCCCCAGTGCAGGCCCTTCTCCTCCGCGCTCGCCTGGCGCCCTCGCGGTCAACACCCTCAGGGAAGGGGGAGCGAGAGTCTCCGGACAGACCCAGTGACAGGCCCGGGACCGCCTCTGCGCCGGTAGGACTGAGGGCGCCGGATCCCGCAGGTGAATAAACAGGAAAACTGCCTCCACCCTCAGCCCTGGGCCTCCCGTGCCTCCCCCCTTAACCGAATCCTGCCGTGCTCTGACACGTCCCCAGAGCCCTTTGCGGATACTAATGGGGGCTACTCGCCTTTCGGGGTCCTAGTTATTCCCCACCCCCCTGTAATTTTAGGTGGGAAGGTGAAAAATTGGAAACGCAACTTACGCCTCGTTTCTCCTCCTCGGAGACAGGTGGATTAATTCCGCTTAAGGCAGGAACACGGTGCATTTTGCTTCTCCCACACACGTTCAGGACCACAGGCATTTCCTTTTCAACCAAAAATATTTAATAAACACCTTACAGAGCTCCTGGAACATATAAAACCTCGCCTGATAGTTGTAGGAAAGAACCTTAAAGTGTCGAGGTTCTGGTAACAGTTGCTGTCTAGATAGTCGTGCGTCCTTGCGTATGTCACATCTGCCCCAGCCTCAGTTTCCTCGCATGTAAAAGGAGATGGTTGGATAGTATGGTGGCCAGGTTTCCCCTTCACTGTTCTAGAAGTTAGATTGTGGAAATCTAACCTCTTCAATATAGAGGACTACAAGGGGTGGGAGGACAGACAGTGGGCCAACAGAGGTGTATTTAGTAGACTTCTGGGGTCGGCAGAGCATCCCTTCACCGGGGACTCGGGGAGCTGGCCCGCTGAAGGCGCGTGCATCCTTGATGGCCTCGCCAAGTAAAGCGAAAGGACAGGAACCCTAGTCATTGTTAAGACTGGCTTTTGACACCTTGAGCAGCTGGCCATTAGCAGACATCAAGATATTCTCAGTTATTTCGATAGCCAGATGGCCTGTGTTTATTGCAGGTTGGAAGTAGAATTTAGGATTGCTTAAGAGCAGGCTGGGACGTTGCTGTTGAGCCCAGAGCAAGACACGCGGTGAGTAGGAGAGAGGATCACGTTTCAATAATGCATGAAAGGTACTAAGCATGTTTCCAGTAATTTATTTCTAAGTCCCTTTGTGTTTCTGTACGGATGAGGCCAACTAAACCATAAAGTGGAACAACAGCAAGGTTTGCCCGTTTGGTGGCAGGAGGCCTGGGACCCCCAGTCTGCCTGGATTGTTGACAGTAAGAAGGCCCTTTCTGAGCACTTACTATGTCCAAAACACCATCTTACACACTTAATTTCTAAGTCTCTGTGAAAGAAGTCTTTTCCCCAGCACTGAAAATGATGAAAAGGAAGCAGAGAAGAGTTAAAGATTTTACACAAACCACATCATCAGTGAGAGTTAGATGGGACCCTATGTCTCTGGCTCCAAAGCCTAGGAAATTTCCACATGGTGTTCCTCCTTATTCAGGACCCATTGGGCCTCACTACCCAGGCAGATTCCCTCCTTCACTTTTTGACTTTGAAAATTAACTACCTTTCAGGGTACATATATTATGTATGTTCATATCTATGTCAGATAATCTGTAATTTGCATTGCACGCATATTCATGCATATATACCTGTTTGTTCTCACCATTTTTAGGTTGAAGGCAAGTGTAAGAAAAATGAAAATAACCAAAGATATATTTAGTATTAGGCCAACAGGTTTTTTTGGCTTTCTTTTTTTTGATATCCAGGAAATCTTGATTTAGCAATCACGGTGTAGGTGAAAGGAGATAAGCAATAAATGTAAATATGTCTGTTAGCCACCTTGGCGCATTGTCTTGGGAAAAGTCAAGATACAGTAAGAGAAAAGAGGAAATAGAAAAAGATATTTAGATGCATGTACTTAAACATGCACGCAGGCCCATGTACACTTCATTGTCCCGAAACCGTTGACATCGACTGTGTGGAGGAAGTAGGATGGGCTGGGGTGAAAGGAGGATGCTTTTACTTTTTTCTTTTTAAAGTTATGTTTGGACTTGTTTTTTAAGGGTCTGCGTTAGCCTGATTTGTTGCCCTAAATCCCAAATGACACATTTATGTAGTCATTAGCCCTGTTGTTGATTTCAGTCACATTTCTTTCCTAGCTGCTTTCCCCTCTCTATATTTAGAAGGCAGTTATTTACCATTTTGTAAAATGGCACTATCTTAATTTAGATGACCAGGGAGCTTTAGGAAACTATCAGAGTCCTTTGTTAAGGCAATGATTTCCTGGTGCAGAGCCCCGAGGAGAAAACCAAACCCAAACAAAATAACCTAAATGTGAAACACCTAAACCTCGAGCCTGTACATCAGTATGTATTTGCTAAAGATGCTGCAACTCGTCTTGCTAGTTTCTGGGTCTAAGTAGGTCCCAAGCAGACCCACAACCCTACCTCAGCACCAACAAAAACCACGCAGAGTGTTGTATTAAAAGTAGCCTCCATCTGCCTTGGTCCAAGGTAATGTAAATGCGGCTGAGTCGAGAATGTGCAGAGGGGTGTCTGAGGCTTGGAAATGTGAATGAGAACACTGCATTACCCTAGGACCTGGCGGTCCTGCTGCATTTGAAGCTGGGGGGAGAGGTGGGGCAGATGGAATGAAACGTAGGCTCAGAGGAAAACCTGTATTCCAGAGGTAAGAAAGAGGATTGGGTAAAGGAGGGCTGAGACACCTTTTTTGACATTTGTTCTCATGTGTGTTTGGGAAGGGAAGACCAATCCAGGGAACATGTCACAAATAGAAAACAGGAAAGTACAACTTTTAATAACTCAGGGGAAATCTTTTGATCTGAGACTAAGAGTGGGACTGGGGGAGAGTGGGAGTCTGGCCCTCATGAGTCAGCAGTGGCCAGAGGGAGCTGCGCTGTGGCTTTGTGGAGGATTAAAGGAGAACTAGAAAGGGGAACTGGTGTTGTCTCAACAAGCCTGATTTATAGGTTAATCGTGCCAAGGGAAAGTGAGTAAGGAGCTTGGGGTGGTGGTGAGCTGCCTGTGTGGCTATGTAGAGAGACCTCTGCTGCCCAAACAGGGGCCCTCTGCCCTCCTCACGGTGCCTCAGAGTGGGCCCTGCCGCCCGTGGGGTGCCAAGCCGTAGAGGACGTCTGGAATCCAGAACAGTGGAGGAGCGGGTCCCTGGGAGCCGTGTGGCAGATTCTTGTAACTGCACTAGGTACTTTTAGGGACCAGATTGAGAGAACACGCTTGGGCCCAAGGTAAACAAGGTGTCTCTTTTTTTTTTTTTTTTTTTTTTTTTTAAAGATTTTATTTATTTGACAGAGAGAGATCACAAGTGGGTGGAGAGGCAAGCAGAGAGAGAGAGAGAGGAGGAAGCAGGCTCCCTGCAGAGCAGAGAGCCCGATGTGGGACTCGATCCCAGGACCCTGAGATCATGACCTGAGCTGAAGGCAGAGGCTTAACCACTGAGCCACCCAGGTGCCCAAACAAGGTGTCTCTTAACAGAGCGAAGTCTGGAGCCCTTACCCTAAGCATTAAGCAGAACCATACAAAGGGACACGCACACCTTCCACGATTTAACAGGATGCACTGTTCTGGTCCAGCGCAGTCAAGCTTCTGTGTGTGGCTGACGGGGAGCTAACAGGGAGTGCCTTCTTGATTCTGTTTCAAAATAAGTTCTGCGGAGCTGGGTTTAATGAACCAGTGAAACTCAAATTCACCTTTATGAGGGAGTTTGAATAAAAGATTTTATTGTTATGCTTTCAGGGGGTAAAAATGACACACATTTTAACTTACTGTATAATCAGGTTCCTTATGTTTTGAAGGCATGACATCTTTTTAAAAATTATTTTTTTATTGAGGTATAGTTAACATACAATGTTACATTAATTTCAGGTGCATAACATAGTGATTCAACACGTCTATAGTTACACAATGGTTACTACAATAAGTACTAGTTACCATGTGTCACCCCACAAAGTTGTTGCAATATTATTGACTGTACTCCCCATGCTGTACTTTTCATCCCCTGATTTCACAGGAATTTGTACCTCCCAATCCCTAACCCTTCAACATGCCTCCCCTGTGGCAACCACCAGTTCTCCCTACATATAAGTCTGATTCTGTTTTTTTGTTTGTTCCTTCCTTTTGTGTTTTACATTCCACATGTAAGTGAAATCATATGGTATGTGTCTTCTTGTCGGGCTTACTGCACTTAGCATAATACCCTCTGGGTCCATTCATGTTGTCGCAAATGGCAAGATTTCATTCTTTTCTTGTGGCTGAGTAATGGTCCGTTGTGTGTATGGACACCACCTCTTCCTCATCCGCTCATCTGGCGGTGGACACGCGGTCGCTTCTACAACTTGGCTGTTGTAGGTAATGCTGCAGTAAACAGATGCATGTATCTTTTCGAATCTGGTTTTCATTTTCTTTGCGTAAACACCCAACAATGGAATTACTAGATCCTGTGGTAATTCCATTTTAAATTTTTCGAGGAATTTCCGTAGTGTTTTTCATAGTGTCTGCACCAATTTATATCTCATCAGCAGTGCACAGGGGTTCTCTCGCTATTGTGAAGATACACAACCCTTTAAGGGTATCTCAAAGCCCTTGTAACAGGGCTCAGTTGTCTCTACAAGTAAGTGGGATCAGCCCAAGGAAAAGCAGGCTTCAATTTAGCAACTCCCTGTGACTTTTCAAGAGCTCCAGGATCAAGGGTGTCCTGATTGTAACTCAAATGTCCTGTTTTTTAAAAATTTTTTTTAAGATTTTATTTATTTATTTGGGAGAGAGAGAGAGAGAGCATGAGCAGGGGCAGGGGCAGAGCGAGAGAGGAGCAGGCTTCCCGCTAAGCAGGGGGCTCAGCCCCAGGCTGGATCTCAGGACGCTGGAATCATGACCTGAGCTGAAGGCAGATGCTTACCGTTAATGGACTGAGCCATCCAGGCGCCCCATCAAATTCCTTGGTTTTAAAATAATGCCTCTTCTGTATTTTATTTTTTCTTAAAGATTTTATTTATTTATTTATTTTTTTAAAAGATTTTTAAATTTATTTATTTGACAGAGATCACAAGTAGGCAGAGAGACAGGCAGAGAGAGAGAGGAGGAAGTAGGCTCCCTGCTGAGCAGAGACCCCCCCCCCCCCCCCCCAGGC